TGTCTTCATGCCTGCGTCTTTTACTCCTCTCTCCCGAGCAGCGTAGGGGATCGGATTGCCGTGCGGGGGGCTTGCCTTCCGAGGGGAGTGGCTAACCCTCAGTGTTGTTTTCGTCTCTTGTTCTGCTCGGGCTGGTTATGTTCAGTTACAAGAGCGATACTATCTTGTCTGGCTATTCTACTAAAAGAGTCGAGAGTTGTGATGAGAGTAGCTTTAACATTTTCTTTTCCATTTTTTATTGGTTCGAGGGGTGGATGTAAAGATTCTATTTCTTTATCTTTATCTATTTTCCATGTATTAGAAATTGTTTTCAATACCAACACATTATTTTCAACAAGTAATGGAAAGGAATTTTTTAGATCTTCTAGATATATAACTTGGTACCATAAGAAAAAAGTTATATCTTGTTTAATGGTATGTATACAGTCACAATACAAGACTCTAATAGATGATCTAAGATCCTCTTCATAAGTTTGGAAAAAACACTCCTTTTTGTCTTGGTATTTAGGAAAATTTAAATCTTTTCTTAGAAATTCTTTGTCAATTTCAAAAGAGGGTTTATCATCAGATCATTACTAACATATTAGTTGATTTAGGATTGCATTTAATCTCATTTAGAGAGAAAATTTTATTTCTAGCCTCCCATTTTTATTTGCTGAAAAGATGAGAGAATCTCTTAAAGAACAATGCAATGGTCAAATACATTATGATCAAATTCCCTTTGAACAATTAATCCAAATAGTTAAGACAATTGGTTTAAAACTTTGTAATGATGTCAAAATTAAAAACCAATTAAAAAAATCAAAACCTTTTGGGTAAAAGGAAGTTAAGAGATTTTTGTTATTAGTTTGCTCTTCAAATGGAAAACACAAGCATTAAAAATAAGCATAAGAACTACAGAAAAGAACAAAACCTACAGATAATAAAAATGACAAAAGAAATTCCTCTAGAATAAAGTTTTCAAAAAACCTCAGAAAAAATAAAAATAATACAAAAACTCATACATGTTATAAATGTAAGAAAAATGGACATTATGCTAACAAATGTTTTTAAAAGGACTTGAAGAAGAAGATTAACGAGTTAATATTAAAATCTAAGATGAAATTAATACACTTATTAATGCTTTAAATCTTAACAATGACAATAGTTCATTCAATGATGAGTACGACAATTTTTGCACTTGTTATAAAGAAAATAGTTTTGAATCATCTATAGAGTCTTCTAATAGTTCTTTTGAATTAAATACTTTAGACGAACATGAATAATTTATTCTTGACAGTATTGATGTTGTTACAGATCCATGAGAAAAAAGATACAATTAACAAAATATCTTGAGATGACCAAAAAGAAAAGAAATAACTCCAAATAATATACTTCTTTAAATATACAAACTAATAAAAAGGCATCTGTTGAAGATCTCAAAAAGGAACAAAAAGAGTAAAGTTTGAGCTTAAAAATTTTAAGCAAGAAATACAAATCTGAAAATTTAAACCAAATTATACGGAATATTCTAACAAAATCAACACTATAGAGAAATATATTAAAAAAATAAAGATGTCATATTACACTTAAGATTCAGTCCAATTTTACTGTTAGAGATACTGCGCTGGTTGATAAGGGAGTGGATCTTAACTGTATTAGAGAAAGTCTTATTCCCTCCCAATACTTAAAAAAAAAAACTCATGTGGTTAGTTCCGCAAATGGTCAAAGTCTCAATGTTGAATATAAGCTTCCGATGTCCATGTTTGCAATTAAGACCTATGTTTAAAAACATAATTTATTCTAGTTAAAGACTTAAAACAAGATATTATTATTGGTACCCCCTTCATCAATCTTCTTAAACCCTTTTTTTGTTGATGACGATGGTTTTCATTTTTATACAAATAGGTTTAATATACTATTAAGCTTAATAATATTCCTGAGCAAGCTTATCTCAATCATTGATATCTGCCTTATCTTATCTTATAAAGAAAAATTCCTTCCAAGATATTTCTTAAAAAAATCAAACTAGAGAAAATTGAAAAACATATTAAAGAAAAACAATTTATTGAAAAACAATTTATTGAAAAACAAAAAATATTTCATGTGAAACATGAGGCAAAAAACATGTTGTTAGCCTTCCGTAAGAAAAAGATTTTTCTGAAAATAAAATTCCTACCAAAGCACGCCCAATACAAATGAGTCAAAAACTTCTTAAAATATGCAAACAAGAAATTTCTGATCTTCAAAATAAAAAAATAATTAGGCCTAGTTCTTCTTTGGAGCTGCGCAACCTTTTATGTTGAGAATGCTACGGAACTTGAAAGAGAAGATCCTACATTAGTTATTAATTACAAGCCTCTCAATAAAGTCTTACAATGGATTCTCTATCCTATACCAAATAAACAAGATCTAATTAAAAGACTTCAGGGCACAAAAATATTTTCAAAATTTGATATGAAATCAGGATTTTGGCAAGTACAAATTGCCAAAGAAGATCGCTATAAAACGGCTTTTATAATCCTATTTGGTCATTACGAATGGAATGTTATGCCTTTTAGGTTAAAAAATGCAACATCAAAATTTCAAAAAATTATGAACAAAATACTTAATCCTTAATACTTCTTTTACCATTGTCTACATTGATGATGTGCTTGTTTTTTATAAAGATACCGATCAACATTGTTAACACTTAAATACTTTCATTAAGATTATTAAAAGTAATGGCTAAGTGGTTTCTGTCAGAAAAATAAACTTTTTCAAACAAAGATGCAATTTCTAGGATATTTTATTCATAAAGGCACTACTTCTATCCATAGGGTTATTGCCTTTGCTGATAAATTTCCTGATGAAATAAAAAAAAACTAAACAGTTATAGAGAGTTTTGGGATGTGAAAATTATGTGCTGATTTCTATAAGGACATTGCCTCTGATAAAAAAACCCTTAACGATAGGTTAAAGAAAACCTGTACTGAATGGACAGAGCAACATTCTGAAATAGGCAAAAGAACAAAACTAAAGTAAAATCTTTACCTTGTTTATCTCTTCCAGACCCTACTGCTTTCAAAATAGTAGAAATAAATGCATCTGATTTTGGTTATGGCGACATCCTTAAGCAAAAAAATTAATGGTAACGAGATTTTAGTTGCCTTTACTTAAGTGCGTGGAATGACACTGGAAAGAATTATTCAACAATTATAAAGGTGATGCTTACTATTGTTCTTTCAATTAATAAATTTCAAGGTCACTTATTGAATCAAAATTTTTTACTCAGAATCGATTGTATGTCTGCTAAATATATTATCAATAAAGATATTTAAAATTTAGCATCTAAAAAAATATTCACCAGATGGCATGCTATCCTTACTGTTTTTTTATTTTGATATCGGATTTATTAGAGGAGATAATAGTAATTTACCTGATTTCCTCTACAGAGAATTTTTACAAGGATATGATACTATTAAAATATCATCACCAGAAGAATCTAAAACACGAAGCAAAGAGATCATTCAATAATTCCATAATACATGACAAGAAACATATTCTCCTTTTCATCTGAGATGCATCGATAAACTTATCATCCTTGAAAAGTCTGATCAGAATTTACTGCTAGTGGAAATTGCAACAAAATTTCTTTCAAACGATTATTATTATATTCCAACAATGTTTATGAAGACTACTCATGATAAGAAAATTCTTAAAGAAACAGAAAACACATTTGTTCATCATAAATATAGAGGAAAGGAATATAGTTATTCCCGTTTAAGATATATCATATTATTCCATTAAATGAATGGAATTCATATGAAAACCCTAATGCTCCTCGAGAATTTGGAGGAAAAACTCAGACAGGTCCTCTGCAACACAACTATTGGAATTACCAAGCAGCTTGGGAACATGTTCTATACATTCAAAATCATCTTGGAAAACATATATTGTGGATACGATTTATGAATCAGATAATTCTACCAAATTGGTTTATTGAAACCTTATGGGCTAAATTTGGAGCCATTAAAGAAATAATGCCAAATGAAATCCTTAAAAAACAAGGAAAACATTTATCTTCACGAGATATACTTCAAATATCAATGGAATATGGCCTCCCTTGGATTATACAATGGGATTGCGACTCTATTATAAAAAAATAATGATCAGTCATCTTACCTTGCTAGATATTAACTAAACAAATAAAAGTTTTCTCAAACAGTCTGCAACATCCTTACCAGTCAACAACACCGGACAAACACAAGACAAAGCTGTGTAAATCGCGAATACATTCTATGACCTAGAACTATATATATAGGGGGGTTATAGCTAAATTAGTTACACACACCTATAAACATGCTCTTTTGCCACTGATATTAATGATCCACACCGTTCATTGTTATCTACATGTCACCAAGTGTATGTGGATAAAAATTCATGTAGTTTGAAATTTTCTATCCTATTCAAGCAATTCAAAATAACCGACATCTAAGACAACTACAAAACAGTCTATTTCTAGGTCATTAGATGAACAAACTAGAATGTATGTGTGTGTGTGTGCGCACGCGCGTGCGTGTGTTATATATATATAGACATACATATACATACATACATACATATATATGATGTTTTAAGTGTATTAATGGACTAATACAGAAGTCTATGGATACTGTTAATATATGAAATGTGTAATCTAAGATTTAAACAAAAAAGCAAATCATGTCTTACAACAACTCAAAACCCTAGCCTCATCTTACTTCTGCCTTCTTTTCTATGTTATTAGTCCCAATATTTAATGTTGACAATGTCACAAATAATATGTTCAGCTTGTCATCCACTATCTGACAACACATGTAGCCTACAAAGTGTAACTTTCTCATAACCAAAATTATCGTAAGCAACAGATGCTTTTCCCTTATTTACACGAGCATACATACTAACAACTATACAACAGATTAACCAACTATAACAAGAAAAACATCAATTTAGATAATATAATGTAGGCACTATATAAATATGATAATAACAATACTGACCTTTTGTACGACGCAGCAGTACAGCCTTGAGAACTGCTTGAAGCTTCTTATATCCATGGGTTGCATTTTTTGATATTGGGTATTTTATCGAGCTACAGAAGGCGCTATAGACATAGTAAGGATCATATTTAAGGAATCGAAAGTAGCTGTACAGATCATCAATTGAATTTTGTATAGGCGTTCCTGATAAACACCACCTTCTTTTGGCTCGAAGACCACTACAGGCTCTAGCAACTTGAGTTCTATGATTCTTTATGGTTTGTGCTTCATCCAGTATCACCCTATACCATCGAACTCTAGCAAGTGGGCCACTATCATAGTCAAAATGAGAGTCCTTGTTCTTTTTTGACTTTTTCTTTCCCTTGTTCCGAACATTAGAAGGTTCTTTCCTTTTCGTACTTGAAAATTCTGAAGATATTTCATATTTATCGAGATTCTTTTGTTCTCCATCATCGTCAGCATTGGCAGACTGTTTAGGTACTTCATTAGTTACAATGGCATATGTTGTGAGAACAACATCATACTTTGCCAGCTCAGAAGGATCTCTTGTCCTCGAACCACCATGATAAATTAAAACAGATAGCTTAGCACTGCTTGTAACTTTTTCATCTATCTCACGAGACCACTGTCGTAGAACACTCGCTGGGCAGACAACCAGTGTACCTGCTGCTGGTCTTGGGTTGGCAGCCGTGTGCACTGATGAACTGGCGACCTGCTTCTTTCTAGGATCATCTTCTACAGGTTGTTTTTCTTTATTTAGTTCTGTAGGTCCATCATCATCATCATCATCTAAGTTTAAGGCTTCAGGTTTTGTCTGATGTGAATCATTAGACATGAAGTTTGACTGTAGAGTCCTCTGCTTTTGTATAAGGGCAATCATTGAGATGGTCTTACCAAGACCCTGTTAACAAAGACAGATTTCTCAGCCTTCACGAAAAGTTAAACAGCAACCTAGAGGGAATATCACAAATAAAGTAAAATACAAAATATGCTAATCAGATCTAACCTGATCATCAGCAAGAATCCCACCTGTACAATGAACACTCTTCTCTTTCTGAACCATCCACCCCAAGGCTATTTTCTGTGTAATAACAATTGTCTCAAAACTGCTTCAAGAACTATTTAGAAATATAAAAAATTCAGGCATTGTTATCCTTCTGAAGTACTCGTACCTGGTGCTTTAAGAGAGAAACAGATAAAAGTCCCTCAGGTAGATCATCTTCTAATTTTGGCTGACCAAGATTCTGCAGATAATTCAAGAAAACGCCTTAGATATACAAATTGTAGTGGTTTTTATTACATTATAAATAAATAAGTATACTACCGTGTATCGCGCCCATTGTCAATATTCAACTTTTTTTTCCTTTCCAAAATACAGTCATTGCCAAGGATCAGTCTGCACCAGACAACACACTTTCTAGCCTGGCTGATTAAATTGGCTAGTGTTTTAGGACTTTATTGAGTATAAACATGTTTTTATGAAGATTAGTTCCAGAATAAGGTGTGTTCTACCAGCACAGGTTTTGGTCAGTTTCTAGCCAACTTCATTTTTTTTGGTGTATTTAGGGCAGTCGTAAGTACAAAGGGTCATAACTCAAAATTGAGTATAAAAGTGTTCTCATTAGGATCACTTCCAAAATAGGTTATGTATCTACCAGTACAGGTTTTGACAAGTTTCAAGCCACCTTCAGTAAGTTTATAGTTTTCTTGTATCTGGGGTAGTCCTGCATACAAAGGGTCATAACTCAAGATGTTGGTATCAGATTAGGCATATTAGCGCAGTCCTACATAGAACGAATGAACCCGGGTTGCTGCAATACAACTTAGGTGCATATGTCACAGGAGCATCTTTAGTTCTTTACATGACAAAGTTTAACAAAAAGGTCCTTTTAGACAAGTTTTAATGGCCTGTAATTGATAGGGTAATAAGTCTTGTTTTATTGCTAAAGGTAGGATTGTGCTAGTAAAGTTTTTTTCCCCTGTCAAAATGCATGAATTCAGATTTCTCAGAAATCAAGTAATATGATCTATATTTTTAGACGCTCAAGTAATTCCCAAATGTAGTGATTGGTGAGTAAAGTGTATTAGTGAACATGACGATCCTTATGTATTTCCCTTCTTTTTTTTTTATCTTCTGTCCCTTTGTTTACCCAGAGGAACAATTTAGTCCACTTTCATTTCTTAGAATCCATCCCTGTTCAATACTAATTTGCAATCACGTAAAGCCAGAGAGCACAACGAACTAGCTCCTATGTATAATAGCAAGGTTTTAAATGTCGGATGTCGGGTTCATGTCGCATGGCTGAAATCCATATCGGATAGCGGAAATCAGGGATATATCGGGGGACATTGACTAAATATCGGATTGCCATATCGGGTAGTGCGCATATGTATAATATCATGTCCTAAATGTAATCTAAGCATTCATAAATTCAATATAAGCATACTTTATAAATTCTATAGACTAAACATATAAAAAAAGCAAATAATATATGGATTTGGGTTCATAAATTCTTTCTATCGGATTCATAAGAAACTCTTAAACTTAAGAACGGGTCAAACGGGTTTGGGTATTTATCACTAAACCCAAACCCGATAACAAAAAACATATCTTAAAAAAAACCATATCGACCGATTTTTCAAAGCTAAAAAATAGGCCGATATGACCGATATGACCCTGATATTTTCGATTTGGTCCTGAAAACCGACATACGAGTTGAAAACGTCCATATCGTGTCGGTCAAGCCCTCAAACCGATATGTCGGCCGACATGTCGGACATGTCGGCCGATATTTAAAACCTTGAATACATACATATGTATGAGTGTGTGTGTCTGTGCATGCGTGTCCCCTTATCCTGCCTTTCACAAATTTTCCATGCCACATGTCTGTGTCTGTTTCCGTGCCTGCAACCACACCCGTATCTGTGCAACTGTTTCAAATGCTACCACTTTTGTAGTGGCATATGTTTGAATTATTATTATTATTATTATTATTATTATTATTATTATGTTGGAAGACCTGAAAGTTAATGATTAGATTCAAGGTTTTAAATGTTGGATGTCGGGTTCATGTCGGATGGTTAAAATCCATGTCGGATAGCGGAAATCGGGGATATATCGGGGGACATTGACTAAATATCGGATTGCCATATCGGGTAGTGCGCATATGTATAATATCATGTCCTAAATGTAATCTAAGCATTCATAAATTTAATATAAACATACTTTATAAATTCTATAGACTAAACATATAAAAAAATAAATAATATATGGATTTTGGTTCATAAATTCTTTCTATCGGATTCATAAGAAACTCTTAAACTTAAGAACGGGTCAAACGGGTTTGGGTATTTATCACTAAACCCAAACCCGATAACAAAAAACATATCTTAAAAAAAACCATATCGACCGATTTTTCAAAGCTAAAAAATAGGCCGATATGACCGATATGACCCTGATATTTTCGATTTGGTCCTGAAAACCGACATACGAGTTGAAAACGTCCATATCGTGTCGGTCAAGCCCAAAAAATAGGCCGATATGACCGATATGACCCTGATATTTTCGATTTGGTCCTGAAAACCGACATACGAGTTGAAAACGTCCATATCGTGTCGGTCAAGCCCTCAAACCGATATGTCGGCCGACATGTTGGACATGTCGGCCGACATTTAAAACCTTGTATAATAGAGGAATAGGTGAAACTTTATTCACGTCTAGATATCCAATCTATACATTAAGCATAACCTTAGTGCGTCATTATGCAGATCAGCACATCAGATTAATAAATTCCACTAGCAATATATTTCCATCCTTACAAAATGCTAACATAGGATGAGGCTAGAGGAATGATTATTTTTTACAAAGGATAGGAAT